CCCCCACCCCCCACCCTCCTCTCTGGGGCAGCCCCTCCCTCAAATATTGGAAGATGCTCTCCTGTCTCCCCTGGTCCTTCTCTTCCCTAGACTAGCCAGGCTCAGGTCCTGCAACCGTTCATCGGATGTTTTAGCCTCCAGTCCCCTCATCATCCTGGTTGCTCTTCTCTGCACGCTTCCTAGGACAGGGGTGTCAAACTCATTGAGGGCCACATCAGGGTTGTGTTTGACCTCAGGGGGGTGGGCTGGGATGTGTGTGGCCAGCTCGATGTGTCACTTGTGTCGGGGACACCTGTGGTGGCCAGGACTTCCCTCCCTCCCTCTCATTATAATCTTCCTGCCTGTCTGTCTGCCTTCCCCCCCTTCTCTTCTTTTTCTTTCCCTCTCCATTCTTCATTCTTCTTCCTTCCCTTCTTCTCTTCTTTTTCCTGCCTTGCCCTCTTCCCGTTCCTTGTGGTGGCCAAGTGCTAAGGCAGGACTTCTCTCAGAACCTCTCTCCCTCTCATTATAACCTACCTTCCTTCCTTCCTTCCTTCCTTCCTTCCTTCCTTCCTTCCTTCCTTCCTTCCTTCCTTCTCCTTCCTTCCTTCCTTCCTTCCTTCCTTCCTTCCTTCCTTCCTTCCTTCCTTCCCCCTCTTTCCTTCTTTTTCTTTTTCCTTCCTCTTTCCTGCCCCTTTCTTGGAAGCTCAAATGCAAAGGGGGAACCATTTCTCCTTTGGTTTGGTTTGGTTTTTAGTTTGGCTTTGCTAGCCCTCTGCCAGCGAAAATGGAGCTCATGGGGTGGTGGCGGTTAGGGTTAGGAGGCCGCCGTAGCCGAAAACAGAGCCCAGGAGGACAGCATGTGACCTTCTCAAGCATCCACCCTGCCGTGGTGCAGGAGGCCAACTAGGCCACGCCCATCATGGCCATGCACCTCTGGGACTAACCCCTTTATATGCCTAACCCCAACTTCTGCAAGGCTCTCTGTTCCACTCCCCCTTCAATTCTTCCAGCTGGCTACTGAATCAAAACCCAAAAATTCACCAACCATGAAGATGGCATCCACTGAATCTCGCTGCGCAATGGCCCAGACGCCGAGGGCCAGTACCGTGAAGTTACTCCAGCTGTACGTGTTTGGTAACCAGGGCCCCATGCAGCCCCTGCAAGGAAGGAGAAGTCGGTTTGATCACTGCCCTCTGCCATGCCAACCTACCTCACAGGGTTTGTTATGCCCCTGTCGGAATCTGATTCAGAGGGGGAGGCTGAGCAGCTGACGGAGTGGGCGTGTGGCTCCGTTGACTGTGGAAGAAACTGGGGAAGGGCAAAGGCCGACTGGGCAGAGCAGGGGAGAGGGAGAACAAGGGAGAGGGAATTCAGAGGAAGATTCGGACACCTCTTCATCAAGGGCACGCAGGGAGGAACAGAGAAGGGAGCAACATGAGTTGTGTGGCTTACAGGGGAGGAAAGGGCCCTGATTCCCTTTATTAGCTGCAGCTGGGAACAGAAGTGTTTAAAAAGGGAGGTTGCACACAGCAAAGTTGTTGGAAGCAAATCGTGAGTTGTCTGGTATTGTCGAGGCTTATCTGGGTTCCTGGTGTCTTCCCAACTGTTTTGCTGGTCTTTCAAGTCTGCAATTCCTTCTCCTGCCCTGTCCAGTTAATTACTGCAGCGTGGTTTGTGTGGATTTTTAGTTACAGTTTGTATGTACTTTGTTTTCGGACTGAATTTCCTCCACTTAAAGACTGTTTTTTCGGAGCGTTTTTTTCTCCAGCCGAAGGTAACTTGGACATTGGGGGCAAAGTTGGAAGTATTAAAGGGACTCTTCTTACTTTATGTGACTGTGTTGCCATTGTGCCACACCCTGGGTCCTCACAGGGTTGTTGCAGTGGTGGTATTCAGCCAGTTCGCACCGGATCGTGCGAACCGGTAGCAAGGATTTGGCGTGGATCACCAAACTGATAGTAAGTTCTGGCTGGCCATGCCCCCGACCCAGTCACCCTCCCACCTGAGGTATTTCTTCTTTTTCCCCTCCCAACAATCAGCTGTACATAGATCAGCTGATCTATGGCTCAGCTCCCCCCCTTCATTTTTAGCCTCCCTGAGCCTTCGGGGAGCAAAAATGCCCCTCCCCAGAGGCTCCTCTGAGGCCCAGAAGGCCCCAAAAACTGGTTGGGGGGTGGTGGCTGCAAAAAAAAAAAAAAGCCACACCCACCCAGTTGAATGGCCACGCCCACCAAGCCACAGCCACAGAACCGGTAGAAAAAAAAAATTTAACCCCACCACTGGGTTGTTGTGAGGAAAAGTAGGAGCAGCACACAGTAGGTCAGACTGGAAAAGACTCTTGCTAAGAACAAGAGAGGAAACATTCAAAAGCATTTGAAGGCTGTGTATAAATTATTCTAGCTGGATACCTACGAAACTCTGTGGTCGGGCTTAGCTTTTGGGGAGGAAAATAAGGGGGAAAAAATTGTGCCTCTGCCTACCAGC